TTCAGTTACTTACCTAAGATACATCTTCGATGTTTTCACTATAGAGTGAATGGTACACATTCAGATTCTGTGCATCTTTGTAAATAAAAAGCACATTTATTATAATAAACATTTTAAGTTTTATTGGATGAATTGAATAACTACTACTATGTTATATTTACAGATGGTTGTATGCTCTGCTACCCTCCACTCCTTTGAAGTGAAGAAGCTTGCAGTAAGGGTTGATCTTAAACAGATGTATTTATTTATAGTTTCATGTGTACATTTAAGTCTATTTTGATTAAACAGCAACATAATGTATTTTTCAAACACTTCTAGTTTTAAATGTTGTCAAAATTCTATTTTGGAGCAGTATGAAATTAAATAGATATTTTTCATCTAAATATGGCGTGACTTGTATATTATGATAGTCAGAAATGAACGTTTAAAATATAGTTAAAAAGATAATATCTTGCTATCAAAGGCGTACAGCTGGTTTAGCAACTGTAAATTATATAGTAACATTTTAAAGGTTAAAATACAGTGAACAGTTGCTTAATCCAGGTAGTTTTCATTATTTAGTGTAAGTCAAGGTCGACTCCACACCTGGTTAGACTTCTTGACAGAGTTGAACACCTCTCTCTCTCGATAATCGTGTCAATGTAGTTCTATCTGGGCTGTAAGCCTAGAAAGGAATATGCATTCTGAACTTCTGGGAGTTGTTTCTGCTTTTGTGATAATTTTCTTTCACAACTTTAATTTTACTGATCTTATTTTTATTATTTAAACTATAAAGAAGTCTGAGGAAGTAAACTTGTATTCTGTTGTATATATAAATGTACAGATGTAATATCAAAGAATGGCTGTGTAGGTCCAATACTGAAATAATAATAATTTAAAGGTGGCTTAGCCAAGAAAGTGTTAATCTATTTCTTGGTCTGTTGCGTGACTTTATGAAGTATTACAAGCATTTGTTAAGAATTTACAAGAATATTTTTTTTTTGTAAATCTGTATTTGTTGTTTTTACTTCTCTAGGCTAACAATTTTAAAGATCTTCTGTCAGGATCAATGATATCACTTCAACTAAAAGTTATCGGTTAATTTTCATTATTCCTTCAATATGCATTTTTGATATCAAAGGTTGTATAATAGAAGTTTGTTAAACATTAGGTCATAAATGGGAAAATTAAATAATTCAAGGTTAGGGTTTTGATTATAATTTTTGTAAAACTTGTTATGTAGAAAAAATTATAGTAATTATGCATATTCTTTGTCATTAGTTTGATATAATCTTAATCAACTTGGTTGTTAATTTCTAGTTCTCTTGTGTGTAGTTCAACAGCTTTATAATAATTGATTTTTGTTTGTTTTTATGCTACAGGAGAGGTTGATGCATTTCCCAGTCTGGGTTGATCTGAAAGGAGAGGACAGTGTACCAGATACTGTTCATCATGTTGTAAGTATCCCTCAGACACCAAAAATATTTTTGTATGGTTTACCAGAAACTGTTTGTCATGTTATATCCTTATTCCCTCACTTACACAAGAAGGTTATTCTGTGATTTTAATAACTAGAAACTGTTTGTATTGTAAGTATCCCTCAGATACAAAAACTATTGTTACATAATTCACTCTAAATAGTTCACCATGTTGTGATTTACCAGAAATTCTACGTCATGTTGTAAATACTTTTATATGTAAAAAGTATTGCTTATAATATCCTCCAAGATATTGAAATATTGTTGTAAAATGTATTATAAATTGGTGTTCCAAAGAAAAGTGTGTTTTGAAAAATAACACGTGAAAGGAACAGAAATTATGTTGAAGTGTGTCTGCAAAATGCTGTTTACAATACTAATATCTGAATTT